GTCAATAGAAGAACATTGAAAGCATCTCCGTGTTTTCATTGAGATAGTTAGGCACAATGGTCTAGTCATCTCAGCTAGTAAAATTAAGTTGTTCCAAACCTCAGTAAAGTTCCTTGGGTACAACATACAACACTCAACCATTATTCTCATCAGTCATTCTATCCAATTTATAGATAAGTTCCCTGATGAGATTCTGGATAAAAACCAGTTACAAAGGTTCTTAGGTTCCCTAAATTATATTTCTGACTTTTATCAGGATCTTAGAAAAACCGTTAAACCTCTGTATGACAGGCTCAAAGGAAATCCTCCTCCTTGGACTTCTGTTCATACATCCATTGTTCAACAAGTCAAGCAGTTCATCAAAACTTTGTCTTATCTTGATATTCCTTCGGTTGATTCTTTCAAAATCATCTAAACTGATGCCTCCGACATTGGCTACGGTGGTATTCTCCTTCAAAAGCTCACACCAGACTCACTAGAACAAATTGTTCGTTTCCACTCTGGTATCTGGAATAATGCACAAAGAAACTATAGTACTATTAAAAAAGAGATTTTATCTATTGTCTTGTGTATCTCTAAATTTCAGGATGATATTCTAAATCAAAAATTTTTAGTAAGAGTTGATTGCAAATCTGTAAAATATGTTTTGAAAAATGATGTACAAAACATTGCTAGTAAGCAGATTTTTGCCAGATGACAGTCTATTTTAAGTATTTTCGATTTTGATATCAAATATATTAAAGGCAGTAATAATTGCATACCTGATTTCCTAACCCGTGAATTTTTGCAGAAACATCATGGCGGACAGGAAAATTAGTAAGTCTAGTTCGTCTTCCAAAGCTGGGAGAGATACTACAAAAACCAAAACCCAGTTAACCTTGCCAAGCCAGTAGTCTTGTCAAGCCCAATCCAAATTGTTAATCGTTACCAACCTCTTGGTAAACCTAACCCAGTAAGACCAGTGGTCCAGTCTACCTTAATAGCCCCATCCATTTTTCTTCAAATGGCCCAAAAAGAACCAGCTAGTTCTTCAAGCCCACAATTAGTTGCCCCAAGTCAACTAGTTGTTACATACCCAGTTTTTAAACCCAAGCCAACTTTCATAGCCCACACAGGCCCAAAAGTTGACTATGTCAAAAAAGGTGAACCCATTACAGTGTTTGTCATTGAACCTATTCATGCTCACCTAAACAACCCAAAAGATATAGTAAACATTTATCTGGAACCAGGATGAAACTTTATCCCATCTGATCCGGAGAAAACATTTACTTTTTATCAGGATATATTATTTTTTACCAGTCTATTCATATCAAACCCATATTTGATAGGAATGACCCAAGTAAAGTAATATATCATTCATTATATATTTTAAAGTTCATCTCTCTCAAAGAATGAGGATCTTATCCTTTTTTGCTCAAAGATCTCGAGGGATATGAAAAGAAGTTTAATTACTATGATTATATTGAATCATGGAATAAGCTTCTCCTCTATCAGGATGAGTCATTAACTCACTTCTGGTTCATTCAATTCAATAAGAATTTAAAAAGCCAGATTCCTGCCTGGTTTGCACAGTGGTGGTTTCTTCATGGCCCCATATCTGAAATTCTACCCCTGAACCTACAAGATCAAGTCACTTATTTTGCCTCTATTTTTAAACCTAGTTTTTATGATAGAACTCATTTCACAAGTCTGTTAATATTTTTCAGCAAATATAAAATTCCCTGGATTTACAAATGATTTTGAAAAATTTGTTCTAACTTTGTTTGCAAGCAATCTAGTGTGAAATGGTGGCCAAGATTTCAACATGATCACATTATTTCCCAAGTAAAACAGGAGTTTCCTGTAAAGATCTCAGCACCAGTTACAGTATCAACTGTTGCCGCAATCCTTCCAGCAGTAACTCCACCACCAACAAAGGCTATGTCAGCCCTCATAATTTCCACTCTAGAGCAGCCTCAGGCATCTGAAAGGTCTCCATCAGTTAAAAACAAGCAGAAAAAGTCATCCTCTAAGGACTCTACTAAAGTTTCAGGCTCCTCCAAGCAATCTAAACCGAAGTCTTCTGAGCTCATTGTCATTGCTAAGAAGCTTCTTCAACAAGCAGCTAGTAGTGGTTCGTCTTCACCAGCATCCTCCACAGGCTCAGTTAACCCTTATGCCAATATGGATCCAGATGCCCAAGATTCATTTGCTGATTGTGATGACCTCATCCCTGACCTGGTCTCTCCATGATTCTTTTCCTTATGCGTGATAGTTTCAATTACTACTTTCTTCCTCTAAAAAAAAGAAAAGTTGTCTATTACGTATAATGTCAAGATATCAATTATTCCCTCGGTCCTTTCCACCAGTAAAGCACCGACTGTTTCCATTAAATTTGTTTTTTCCACCAAAAGTAGATTTCTTTTGTCCGGAGCAGGGACCCACATAGCACTCTGTACCATATTTCAGACATGAGGACCCACCTAGTGTCCTTTAGTCAAAAGTCACCCAGAGTTAAAGTAATTCACCTTGCTTTTCCACCGAAAGTTGAAGTAAATAGTCTTTACCTTTGGTTAAAGCAAAAGAAGAAATTATTGCAAGAGATTCCCTAAGTAATCTCTACGCCTATAAAATGGTTGCTTCACTTCAGTTGAAGGCAGAGATTTTTTGAAACCCATATTACACGCCAGAGACATAATTCTCTCCTACCTTCACTAGTAAAACATGTATTCCGAGATCTCTCATAATGATGCAAATGAAGAGATTCTCATCTATTCTCTTTCACTACTAGCCCACTTAGTGCTAGTATTGTATGTATTTTATTTCTGTAATTTATATTTATATCTTGTTCATTTAAACAATAATTTTTATAAATTATTTTGTCACATTTATATTTACATCTTGTGATTCTCTTAAACTCACATGAATTCCGCACTTGTTGGAGTTACTGCTGGAAGGATTGCGACAACAGTTGATATTGTAACTGGTGCTGGGATCTTTACAGGAAACTCCTGTTTTACTTGGACAATAATGCGATCATATTGGAATCTTGGCCACCATTTCACACTAGATTGCCTGCAAACAAAGTTAGAACAAAATTTCCAAGACCATTTGTAAATCCAGGGAATTTTATATTTGCTGAAAAATATTAACAGACTCGTGAAATGAGTTCTGTCATAAAAACTAGGTTTAAAAATAGAGGCAAAATAAGTGACCTGATCTTGTAGGTCCAGGGGTAGAATTTCAGGTATGAGGCCATGAAGAAGCCACCACTGTGCAAACCAGGCAGGGATCTGGCTTTTATGTATATATATAGGTACGACGAGTAATTTCCTCTTCAGTCCGATCAAAGGCAAATCATCCATACTAAAGAATTCTTAAATGATAAATTCCTCATGTCCTAACCCTCAAGGAAATTGCCAAATTTGAAATTAGGACATCTAATTTTATAACTTATCTCTATCTTTCTTATTGGGTTAAACCAAGGGTGGGGCTATTCCCACCCTTATCTATCCATCCCCTCCCATATGATATTTCCACTACATTCCATATTCATTCTAGTAATTAGTGAACCCTAAATCTACAACCACCACCTATGCCATCAAACCCACCTAGCCCTAGAAATCTCTACCATTCACATACACAATTCAACACCTAGTTGACGATAATATGACAATGAAACAAATTTTGGACGATGTTGATTAGCAAATAACAAAGACTTTGAGTGAAATATGGTGAATGAATTAGATAGTTAGAACTTTATACTGCCATCATGCAGTCAAAAACAGGGAAAATTGAGGTTACAAATGAGTTGTTGAAGACTATGATTGGTTGATCAACTTGATTTATTCAGTTAATACTAAGTTATTATATCATTTTTCATTAGTTGGTTTAGACAATCATGATTTTAGATTCTCTTACTAAATTTGAGGACATAATTTAATGCTAGGGTGTTAGAGTTTCTAGTGGAGGGTGAGATGAGGTTAGAAAATAAATGTTTAATCATGTGTTGGGATGAACAAAATAAATAAATAATTTTAAGTGGGAGTGTGAGTAGAAATGGGGTGAGAAATATTTTAAAGGTGAAAATATTGAGTGTAACAGTTATACTACTTCATTATGCTGATATGGTGTTACCGTCCAAATAATAAGACAACATGTGAACAAGTAAATCTCATATAATTAAATAACTACACATTCATATTAGGTAGTAACTACTCAATATGAGATCTACTTGTCCACGTATTATCTTATTATTTGACAGTTATACCATGCCAATATTTTCTTCCTCTTTAAACCAAAAGAATGATAAAAAAAAAAAAAAAACTAAACGGGCATTTTTTTGGATAAATTACACTTTACCCTCTTGAACTATTAGCCTTATTTCACTTTACACCCTCAACTATAAAATTTTTCACATTGTACCATAAAGTATCAATTTTATTTTATATCACACCAATTGATAATAAATGTTAATTTTTTTTATGGTAAATACGCATATAAGTAGTCTGTACTGTCAATAAGCAACTACTTATTGTACATGTGCAGGTCAAAAAATAAAAAAAAAATACATATCCATGACTTTATCCTTCTTAAATTCCAAATTTTCTTCCTTTGACTAACTTTCTTTTTCTTCGCAACAATCATTTTGTTGCAAAAGAGGTAAAATAAGGTAATAATAGGCACTTGGAGAAAAACTCTTTGGGGTTTTCTTCCCTCTTTTGAAAGATTTTCAGTCGTTATCTATTGGAGTGATATGAAATAATATTGATACTTTAGGGTTTAGTGTGAAAAATTTTATAATTAAGAGTAAAATGAAACAATGATAATAGTTAAGGGGGATAAAGTGTAATTTACTATTTTTTTTGCACTTTTTCCGAAATTAAAAGGAAAAAAAAAACAAGTCAGGGTAATATTTCGACTTCCCGACCCGGAGAAAATCCGGTCCCGAATATTTAGGTTTTATACGTCGGCCTCATCATTGTACAGAGAGACGCACACAATCGAAGGTGAGAGAGAAAATGGGGTCCAGAGACAAGGATCAAACGGCGCCGCACCAGCATCAGCCTCTCCTGAGTAGCCTCGTGGTACGGCCCACCGACAGCGGCGGAGGAGCGTCCGGTGGCGGTGGTGGTGGTGGTAGCGACTACGAGCCCGGCGAGGTTCGTCGCGATCCGCCTCTGTATTCTCGATCCGATCGATTCCCTGACGACAACGGTTCGTGTTGTCGTATTATCTATCAATTCTAATACTCTGTTCTGCATTTTGGTGCTATTCACGGAACCCTAGGATTATTGTTTTGATATTTGAATCACACGAATCCTAGATGTTTATCAGATCTGCTTTTTATTTTGTACATATGCTTAGATCTACTTTTCCTCGTGCATGTTTGTGTATATTTGCTAGCATAAGAATCTGTGTGGGTATGATATGCATAAGATATGCGTTTTTATCTCCTACAGTGTGAGTATTTCGTGGAAGGATGAAAGCTGGTGGCGGAATGCAGTTGTTGCTTTAGTAGTCTGATTATTGTGGAATTGTTGAGGAAAGACTCTTCATGTAGATGTTCCTTTTCGAATTTACTGCTGTATGCTCTATATTTTGCTCGCAACATCCCTCTCAGTAAGTATGTATGTAGTAGTTGTAGTTTTCTGTTCTTACTTCTTGTCCTTCCTTGTTTGTATTGGAACTGTACGGATTGCGGCAGAGGTAAATTTGAAACGACTGTATCTTGCTACAGTTGGTTAGAGTGATTGGTGTGAACTGAAACTTGTTCCAAATCATCTATCATTCAAATTTTTAATGGAAAAGCGAAATAATGGGGAGCCAATTCCTTGAGGATACAGGATTTTTTTTTTTTTGGGTTTGGGGAGCAAAATAGAGTGAAACGGCTAAATATTTCTTAAATGGACTTCATATCAGGATTCTTGGTAATTCTGGGGCTGTTCTTATCTATATCATGTTTTGTTAATTTCTCTTGGATCTTCAAAAACTTACAGCACTAAACAGGGTTACTGGAGCTTAGTGCATGGGTACAAAATTATGGATTTCAAAGTTACAGTTTTGAGGGATTTTAGTTGTATGTCTGCTTATTTTGAGGTTTAGCTGTCCTGTAGGTTTAGAGATTTATTTATTTGTTCTCATTGAAAGATCCAATACTATCTTATAGTTAGCTTGCCCAAAAAAAATGTTGATGTGAGAAAAAAAAAAAGAGAGAATCAATTACAGTGTGCTTTGAAGAATGGCATTCTGGCATGATGGATCCTCTTCTGAACTTTGAATGTTGACGTCTTTGTTTTAAGTTGACTTATTGTGAATTTTATTATAAAGCAATGCCAGAATTTACAGCTTTTAGAAAATGAAAGCTCAAACTTAATTTGATTATTCCGCCAAATCTTGGCTGATATACCCTGATTTCACGTCCTCTCGAGTGCATGAGTCTATGCACTATGCAGTACTAAAATTGATTTTGCCATTAATTTTTCTGCTTCCTTTTCTTTTTAAAGATTCAAATTATAGTTTAGTAGCAGAACTTATGCATTAACATGTGCATCATGACCTGAGAATGGTCTCCTTATTTGTAAGGTAAGGTGCATTTAATTGTCTTGTGGAAATGGAATCCTCTATTCTTTATATGCAAGTCATCAGTATACGTATTACTGCCTTCTAATCAGCATTGCAAAATGCAAATTATTAGTGAAGTGATGTGTTTCATAGAATTTTAGAACTCATCCAATTACTTTAGTTGTTTTGGCTCTAGGTTGTGTAGTGGTTTGGTTTTAGGCATTCATGACTCTGGATTCAATACGAAACACAAAGGAGCCTTTCCACTAGTCCCTCCACCCCTTGGTTCTCTGACTCTGATTGTGGTTCCACTAAAAAGTGTCATGGATTTGGAGTTCCATTTATTTGTGTAGTTGTGGGACTCGTTACCTCTCGTGCTATGTAGTGGACAAAAGGTTTCATGCACTTGTTCTCTTCTTATTCTTCTTATAATATGATGATTCTTCTTCTCATATACTTCTGCCAGATGAATTGTATGAGACTGTCATGTCCTGGTTTAAGCAATCTGCCTGTTAATTAATGTGACTTTTGCCATGACAAATTTATTGCCTCATCTGGCATTATGGCTTTCTGTGTAATATTTTGTTATTTTGTTAGCGTGAGTTATGCAACAACCTAGGTTTGAATAGCGTGTTTTATATACTGTGTTGCGTGACGAGCACTGCCCATGGATTGTTGAATTGTGAATAAATTTTGCTATATTGTGTTTTACAGCTGTGAATGTTGCCTGGTGCAAGAACTTGGGTGACAGGTTGGTTTGAGTGCTGGTATTGGAATTTGGTTGGAAAATTGTTTTTTGTGTTGGGGATTGGAATGTTAAAACTGTTTATGTGGAAGATGCCACTGATGGATACTCGTGCATGAGATATGATTTTATGTGGTGTAACTTCATTGCCAAGCCATGGTTGGGTTTGTTTTCGGGATATAATGGTTATGGTGACTATGATGTGGGCTTATCAGCTTTGAATTTGGCCACCGGCCATGTATTATGACATCCCATGAAGAACTTGCTTTAAGATAGTTGAGATGGTTTTGTGATGTATTTTGAGAGTATTTTGGTATATACCATTGTGAAGTGGCTAAATTCGGGAGAAATGTGTATCCATAGTTGTTATTTGTAAATTATGTAAGGCTGACTGATGTTGAGTTTACTGGTAAGCAAAAATGCCATAGTTTGCTTACTGGTGCCGAATGCAATTTCATGGGGCTGGCATTTGGGCCATGGAAGATGATGTGGGCTTATCAGGCACTCAGTTGTTGGGTATCTTGGGTTTCTTGTGTTGTGGAAATGCCGATCGTTGGATTTCCCGGTAACTGATAAATTTCTAGTCTGCTGATCTCTGGTTTCAATTTTTCACGGAGAGCCAGTGATTTTGTTGGGGCATTTTTAATTTTTTTTCTTTTGGTGGCTAGATAAGGGTCAATTGGGCTGTCAATAAGATATTGATAGAAAAATTATACTTCAGTGTTGCTACAGTGGGTGCAGTGGCATGAAGAAGTTTGGGTACTAAACTACTAATGCCACATGTTGGTGTCCAGCTTCTATCGACTAGTCATTGGTTTTTTATTGTATGTTTTGGTTCTTAATTTAATTTATAACAAATCGATGAGCTGGTTTGCCATAGGAATTGAATAAAGGGTAGGGTTGAGTTTTCCTATCATTTTAGTTGCACTCTTGTGGGTTTTGATTGTTTCCTATTGGGTTTGGTTGGTTGGTCTTGCTGCTCATACTTGCAGGCACTTTTGGCTGAAGATTTTTGGAGTAAGTGTTGTTATTGGCATCGGTTCCAATTAGTTAGGGACCTATCCATTCTGTGGCTATCTGCAGTTGGCACTGTGGCTGTAATATTCTTCCTGATCACCATCTAGGTTCGTCGTTAAGTATTGGTTGCTTGAGATCAATAACTTTGGGTTTGTAATTCGAGATTTTAAGATAACAACAAATGTTAAGCATGTAATGGTTTGTGCGGTTCATGGAAGAAGTCTCAAATCCGGGAACTGGTTACCCGGGGCTTGTTTTGTTATTGAGGATTGGTTTCATTTGTCATGTGAGGTGTGCACAGCTTGTTCACTTAGTGGAAAAAAGGGTATGGATAACTCTGTCTGGTGTAACTTGCTTACTGGTTCATTCATAATTAGTGGTAAATGGGCTTGTTACTTGAGAAGTAATAGCAAGGTCAGTCATCGGGTGAGCTTTACTCTCGCATCTTGCAGATTTAGTTGAATTTGTTGTTGGCATTTTCATGGGTTGCAAACCTTTGGCTACCATAGGGACATTATACTTAGTATTGTCCACGTTTATGATTGGGTGTTTCTTATCTTTGGACTTCACTGGCTTTTTTCAGGATATAGAATGCGTGCAGGTTCTGCTTCTCCTGTGCGCCGTAGGAATGCAGATCACCGGTATAGTCCTGATTTTGATCATTCAGGTGTACCACCACGTGGTCGTGGATTTGGCAGTGGGAGGGATCCTGGTAGATATCGAGACTATTCACCCCCTTATGGCCGTGGGAGGGATGGTGGCAGGTTTATGGGAAGAGGCTTTGATGGGCCTGCATTTGGTCCTGGGCCGTTTCGAGGTGAAGGGGTGCCTAGAAATAATCCTAATGTCCGACCAAGAGACGGAGATTGGATATGCCCAGATCCCTCGTAAGTCCTTTCAATTTTCTTTTCTTAGATTTCTTTCAGTCGTTTCTATCATTTGTGTTTTATGTATTTGATATTGATTTTCTTTTCTCATTCATCATTTGTGCTTTCAAATTAAGAAATTTATCATATTGGTGGTGTACCATTGATATTTTCACTGATTTCTCCTTATACTGTTCCATTCCTGCCCTTATCCTTCAAGTTGGCACATTGGAGTGAAGCCTTCATCAGCTCATTTCTATCAGAAGGTTTGGGCAGCGGATATATGTCACTCTAATGTATGACTCATGACTGATCTATGTAGTTAATACGATGAAACTGGTCATGTTGGGAATAACCGATTTGCAAACCTTATTATTGTGTTTGTCCATTTATACAAGAAAAGCTTTGACTGTCACTTCAAATTGCCACCCCCTCCCTTTTCATAAAAAAAGAAAAAAAGAAAACGGAAAATTAGATAAACAAAAAAGTTAATGAAAAAGAGACACACACCTGCATGATGTGAGTTATATAATCTCCAAAATTGATATGATAATTTTTTGTGACAGAATAAATATTGGTCTATATGAGATTTTACTTAGTTTTGGAGCGGATACTTGTTTTTTCTTTTTCTTTGAATTTCATAGTTCATGTGGGATTAATCTCATATTATGATGTTTTACTTTAATTTTGAATTCAGATGACTTTTACATTGCATTCTTTTTTATCCTCTTTTTGCAGTAGTAGTAGGATAATATATATGTCGTCTTAGGATCTTTGATTCATGACATGTTTCCTTGTCTTGCATTTGAGAAGTAAGATATCTAATGTTAGATGGAAGGTTCTTATAGGTCTCATTTTGTTTTTTACTTTGTCTAGATGTAACAACTTGAACTTTGCAAGGCGAGAGTACTGTAATAACTGCAAGAGATCTCGATATGTGGCTGGTGGTAATCCTAGGAGGGGCCATCCCGGTCCACCACCTCCTCCCCCTCGACGCTTTCCTGGTCCTCCAGTGGATCGTTCACCGGGAAGAATAATGAATGGCTACAGATCCCCTCCTCGTGGTTGGGCTAGAGACAGTCCTAGGGAGTTTGGGGCTGGTGGTGGACCTGGTGGTCCACATCCCAGGCATGAAGGCAGGTTTTCTGATATTCCAATGCGCAGAGAGCGGCCAGATTATCCTGAAGATGATTATAGGGAGAGGAACAGGCTTGATAGACCCGTGCCTTTGGACTGGGGCCACAGAGATCGTGGAAGGGAGAACTTCTTAAATGAGAGGAAAGGAGGGTATGACAGGCGACCACCATCTCCACCGCCAGCACCACTACCTCCTCGTGGCCGGTGGCCTCGTGATATTAGAGAGAGAAGCCGATCTCCAATTCGAGGTGGACTGCCACCTAAAGATTATCGCGGTGATATGTATTTGGATCGGGGGCGAGATGATCGCCATGGTATGGGGCGTGGCCGGATTGGTGGTGCATATTAGCTGCCATTGGTGGATCAGATATCTTTGCTTTCAATGTACTTTTGTTTTTCCTTTAGGGACAGGAAAATATACTGCATGTTGTGAGGATATTGGGGATGCTGTGAGAACTTGAAAAAAGTTCAAAACTTTGTTTTTGAAATTCTAGATTCCTTTTTTTTTTTCCTTCTTTGCAGAGGTAATCAGGCAAAACGTGTACTTGTCCATGTCTGCCGAACGCGACTCATTTCCACAGGTGATTTCGGAACAGCAGGGTTAAAGGTTAATGGTTGCAGATAACCATTTAAAAGATTTCGAATTTGAAGATAAAATCTTTTTGTTTGGCCTGGTGGAGTTTATAATCGCCCTGGGGTGGTTGTTCAGAAGCTGTTCTCCATGTTACTGGAGATTATTTTTCTTTGGTGGCATAGTTAAATTTTTGTTTCAGTGCATAATTTTAGTCAACTTNATATATGTCACTCTAATGTATGACTCATGACTGATCTATGTAGTTAATACGATGAAACTGGTCATGTTGGGAATAACCGATTTGCAAACCTTATTATTGTGTTTGTCCATTTATACAAGAAAAGCTTTGACTGTCACTTCAAATTGCCACCCCCTCCCTTTTCATAAAAAAAGAAAAAAAGAAAACGGAAAATTAGATAAACAAAAAAGTTAATGAAAAAGAGACACACACCTGCATGATGTGAGTTATATAATCTCCAAAATTGATATGATAATTTTTTGTGACAGAATAAATATTGGTCTATATGAGATTTTACTTAGTTTTGGAGCGGATACTTGTTTTTTCTTTTTCTTTGAATTTCATAGTTCATGTGGGATTAATCTCATATTATGATGTTTTACTTTAATTTTGAATTCAGATGACTTTTACATTGCATTCTTTTTTATCCTCTTTTTGCAGTAGTAGTAGGATAATATATATGTCGTCTTAGGATCTTTGATTCATGACATGTTTCCTTGTCTTGCATTTGAGAAGTAAGATATCTAATGTTAGATGGAAGGTTCTTATAGGTCTCATTTTGTTTTTTACTTTGTCTAGATGTAACAACTTGAACTTTGCAAGGCGAGAGTACTGTAATAACTGCAAGAGATCTCGATATGTGGCTGGTGGTAATCCTAGGAGGGGCCATCCCGGTCCACCACCTCCTCCCCCTCGACGCTTTCCTGGTCCTCCAGTGGATCGTTCACCGGGAAGAATAATGAATGGCTACAGATCCCCTCCTCGTGGTTGGGCTAGAGACAGTCCTAGGGAGTTTGGGGCTGGTGGTGGACCTGGTGGTCCACATCCCAGGCATGAAGGCAGGTTTTCTGATATTCCAATGCGCAGAGAGCGGCCAGATTATCCTGAAGATGATTATAGGGAGAGGAACAGGCTTGATAGACCCGTGCCTTTGGACTGGGGCCACAGAGATCGTGGAAGGGAGAACTTCTTAAATGAGAGGAAAGGAGGGTATGACAGGCGACCACCATCTCCACCGCCAGCACCACTACCTCCTCGTGGCCGGTGGCCTCGTGATATTAGAGAGAGAAGCCGATCTCCAATTCGAGGTGGACTGCCACCTAAAGATTATCGCGGTGATATGTATTTGGATCGGGGGCGAGATGATCGCCATGGTATGGGGCGTGGCCGGATTGGTGGTGCATATTAGCTGCCATTGGTGGATCAGATATCTTTGCTTTCAATGTACTTTTGTTTTTCCTTTAGGGACAGGAAAATATACTGCATGTTGTGAGGATATTGGGGATGCTGTGAGAACTTGAAAAAAGTTCAAAACTTTGTTTTTGAAATTCTAGATTCCTTTTTTTTTTTCCTTCTTTGCAGAGGTAATCAGGCAAAACGTGTACTTGTCCATGTCTGCCGAACGCGACTCATTTCCACAGGTGATTTCGGAACAGCAGGGTTAAAGGTTAATGGTTGCAGATAACCATTTAAAAGATTTCGAATTTGAAGATAAAATCTTTTTGTTTGGCCTGGTGGAGTTTATAATCGCCCTGGGGTGGTTGTTCAGAAGCTGTTCTCCATGTTACTGGAGATTATTTTTCTTTGGTGGCATAGTTAAATTTTTGTTTCAGTGCATAATTTTAGTCAACTTGTAAACGTAAATGTTTCGAAAATAGGATTGGAATGAAAGAATTTTTTTTTTTTTGAAATTGTTTTCAAGCATTTTGAAACAGGTTGAAACGTATTGAAACACTACAAAACAAAGAAGTATTCATTATCGTGAGAACATAAATGTTTTTGACCTTGTATTCATTTGGAAACGAAATGTAATTTCTTGTTAACAGATGGTTTGTTGAACAAGTTGGCTTCGGTTTTCTTTGCTTTTGTTTGTCTATTTCTCTGTTTTCTCCATTGGTGCTAATCCAGGCGTTTGTTGGTGTTTGCTTAGGTCAGGTTAGTCTGCTTTTGTTGATTAGTGGGGCTCCTTGGATTCTGCAGTGTTAGTTTGGTGCAGCTTTGCTACTATGTTTTCTAAAGGCAATCTAGAGCTTCTGGGATCTCGGTCAACCAATACAGCTCGATTAGGATCGAGTGGTGAAGATTCAATTGCATCGTCCTGTCTCCATTACGCATTGAACGATGTCTCAGAATTCTTTTGATTTAAAAGCAATGCCGCTCCTGTTTTGTCGGGAAAAGAGTAATCCTAATTGTTGAGGTGCTTCATCTTTCTCACCACATCTATCAATAAATCAGATTGTGTTGGATATGAGTTGAGATTTATCATATCTGCACGGGTAAAAATCTGTTATTCGTTGAAATATGTCGAGGTGTACTCCTAGTCTTTGAATATCATCCAATCTATGAATTGCAAGGCAAAAGAAGATTAAAGGGACCCCCGGCGTTGAGCCAGAGGAGACCCCTTCGATGCTTAAGTGAGTACTGCGATCAATAGGCGATTGTATAAACTAGAAAAATAATGTAAGTGTGTGTATGTGAAGTATAGAACTGAGGTGCTCATACTTGAGGTCCCCTCTTTCTTGGGTCACCACCCCTCTATATAGAGAATATTAGAGAGCCACTTTCTTGTGCAGCTGCCAATGTAGAGAGATAGGCATGGGCTAGCCTTCTAAAAAACACTCATTACTTGTCTTTATTAATTGTAGCGGTTTTCACTTGTGATATATGTCAATATATTTATATTCCTTCCTTGGAAGTGGGGTTGGTGGACCCACTTAACAAATAATGTTCTGTCAACTGTTTCCAACTTTTATTTCCTTTGAATACTAAGGAGGTGAAAGCTACGCAGAATACTCATGTCTCTAGGGATAATATCCACACCTTTTTAGGCATGGTGCAACTTGAGGGAGATATGCCGAGGTGCACTATATGCTGTCAAGCGAGCACGAAGCCCGAATTCAATAGATAATAACACGTGTAGAGTTTGAATATACTTGTCACTTATAACAAAATACTAAGATCAATAAATGCGAAGCTTGGATATTCTACGATCAATGAGTGATATCTCAACAGTCAGGTCAATGCATCTGCTTGGTGTCATAGATGGCGTCTTCACGGTATAGACAGTTCTAAGCCTGAGCAATAACAATGAACGAATCAGAAACCCATCGGGCCGTGCCTATTAAGAGGCCAAATCCGAAGGATGAAGATATCTGAATCCTAACAAATACGCTCATAATAGAATCCCCGTGAAAGATAATAATAGCTGAGTCATGAATGAGACAATCATGAGGCGCCTTGCAATGCAAATAGATCCAACGAGAAAGGCCTATAATAAATGTCACTGATTCGTTGAACAAAGACCACATAAGCTTAGCCCCCGAAGAGCAATCCAATAGGCCCGAGGAATGACAGAATAAACTTGACCCCTGAAGGACTGAATACATAGATTCTTGGAAGAGGGACCGAATATAGAGATCTCAAACGTATCTCTTGAGGCTGAGCAATAATGAAGTGCCTTGTTGAGGGGTTGAGCGATCGAATACCGAATATAACCATAACAAGCCACTAGAGAGAGTCGAGTCTTGAAGAGGACAATCATAACTAGACCTTAACCTCATCCAAAGAAGACAATAATCTCTGAACCCTGAGAAGGGTTACTATAATCGAATGCGATGAACTTCAAGCATGAGTGAGCCTAAAGAGGACAATAATAGTCGGCCTTCTAAAGAGGGACCAAATAACTATGACCCTTGAGAAAGATCAAAATAAGTTTGTCCTTGTAAAGAAAGGCCAAATACACTGGCTCCTCTGAAGAGAGACCGAATAATATTGGCTCCTTTAGAATGTCCATAAAAGAAGGCCCGAATATATCTGTTCCTTGGCCTCAACAGTCTCAAGTTTGATAATCAATTGGGCGTTGAGTCTTGCTCTTTCTTATCATATTCAATTAACATTTAATTGAAATAAATAAAAGCGTACCTCACCGAACTGAGTTTTGAACATATCAAACCCATAGTTATGCAATTCAAGGCTCCTTCAGTGATACTCTTCTTGAGAGGGTCTTCATGCCTGATGTGAATGTTGACGTTGGGTCAAGCTTCCTCTTGTAACTGTATTGCACTAGGTCTTGGGTCTCACCCAAAGTCTCTTGTCACCTCCTTTAACAAGGAGTACTCCCAAGTCCAAGTCCACGAACTTGTCCCTAAGAGATTTTATGCCTACATTAGAACTTTTGGTGCTTTGGCAGAGCAAAGGCTTACCTGTGTCTATGGCCTAGAGCCCATCAAATGCCTAATCACATAGGGCTTTGAATGCTTTGGTCATGCAAAGACTTACCCATTTTCAAGGTCTGATCCCGAGTCTCATACCACTTCCCTAAACAAGGAGTACTCCTGAACTCAAGTTCTTGAACCTGTCCCCGAAAGGTTTTATGCTTACATTAAAACTTTTGGTGCTTTGGACGAGCAAAGGCATACCCGTTTCTAGGGCTCGCTGAGTGCCTACCCATGTAGGACCTTTATATGTGATCCAGACTTGTTTTCCTGCATCCAGTATTTTAACTTCACTGTATGTGTGCTTGATTTGGGCCTTCTTGTAAAACTCAGGTAAATTTGAATTTTTTACCAAAAGGGATAAAACGGTAAATTGTCACTACGGTACAGGCTGTAAATTTAAATTTTTCTAGAACTCAGATGATGAAACGGATCTCACCGTTGAATTCATCTCGCGAAATCTAGCTACCTTGTCAAATTTCATCAAATTTTGAGACAGTCAAATTTTTTACATTTTACGAGGCAGACGGGCCTCGGGTGACTCAAACGCAAAATTTTTAATAAAATTTCTAAAATTAGGAAATAAATTAAGACAAGTTAAAATAAAAATATTTTGAACTTAAATCGAGACGAAATTTAATTATTTTGGGGCAAAAACAGACCCGAAAAAAAAAAGGTCGTATGACGAGTTGTGGACCAAGTGTTTAGGGAGTTTAAAAAGGGGAGAAATATCATATTTCTCTCCATTTTGTTCAGTCGTTCACCCAATAGAGAGAGAGAGAGAGAAAGAGAGATAAATTCATTTCTCTCTACGATCTATGGCCCTACGATGCTCAAATCAGAAACGGGCCAAAAACAAAAATTGATCTCCTCGACGAGGGCTACGCGACTATACCAAAAAGCGCGGATTTTACCGAAGATCAGGGAACGAGATTTTTAGAAGCTAGGGATTCTAGCTCGTTTTTGGGGTCTTGGAGTTTCCCAACGTCATTTTACGCTTCAAGAGGTAGAGTTCCTTCCTACTTTGATTTATTTTCTAACCTAAGGTGGTTATATGGAACGGGTAGGTTGATAGAGTTATATATCACTTGCCTCTTGTTGTGAAAATGATGAAATGGGTATTGAAAATGGGCATAGAAATGGTTTAAGATAAATTCCTAACTTGGGATGGATATGTGGTAATTACATATGAAATTTCATAGAAATCGGTATTATGTGGACATGCTATGTGTTTATATTGTGCCTTTGTGAAAGAAGTGTGTTTTTGGCATGATTTATGTAATAACATGCTTGAGATTGTTTTTGGGTATAAAATGTTGATATACGTTTATTGATATATTAACATTGTGATGGATAATGGTGATTATATGCTTGGGATATTATTTGTCATAAAATATGTAGATATGTGATTAAATTATTCATATGACATTCATTATATATGGGACATGACATTGATATTGCAATGGTGCATTACATTGCATTTACACGGAGGCATCGCATCCATGGGCATAGGACATGGGTGTGGGTGTGTGTGAGTGTGCATGGTTTGATCAAACATCATACTTGGTGGTTGATGGGTGGACTCAAGAAAGTTGGATTGAAGATTCGATTGAGTCTCACGGTTGCATGAAAAACTTGTGTCGGGTATAGCAAGAAGGGTTAAACTCTCCCTCGGGTGCAAGACACTGCTACCTGGTTCATACACTCCACTGAGGTAAAATTCTGGAAAAGTGTATCAGTGTGCAGAGCCGGCGGTGCGACACCGAAAAATCCACTACCCAACAAAGACACATGATTTTATTTTATAAAATACCTGGTTTGTACACTCCCCTGAGGTGAAATTCTGGAAAAGTGTACTTGTTTTATAAAATAGTCATTTGATGTGTAATATCCAACAATGACTTGGTTTTATAAACACATGACTATTTCAAAAATGATTATTGGATGTAATTCATCAATGACGAGTTTTTTTTTC